TGTGTGTGTGTGTGTGTGTGTGTGTGTGTGTGTGTGTGTGTGTGTGTGTGTGAGTGTGTGTGTGTGTGTGTGTGTGTGTGTGTGTAGCACAACATGACTGCACTGTTGGTTGATTAGAATAACATTAAAGATAATATCAACTTGTTGGGGCTGTTAAATACATTTTGTGTTGTATCTTTATATGAAAAATGTATTTCTGTGTCTCCGGGTCGCGCCTTAGTCAAAAACGCAAAGCACCAGATACTTCAGAGGAAAGTCCCACAAAGAAGTGCTCTCCTCCAAAGAAAAGCGCAAGTGTAAGAACATTTATGTTTTGCAGAGTGTTATGGTTAAGAAATTATAAATAATGGGGGCATATTTTAAAACATCTCTTTTGTTATTAATCCATAGGCAATTAGACCCAACATGAAGTCTTTCCTCCACACTGTGCAGAAGAATCAGCTGCTCATGATGACTCCACATTCCCTCGGCCGCTCTTCTGTTTTTAAATCCTTCATCAAACAAAACACTCCTCTGAAAATCGATCCAAAGGTAAGTTGAAAGCACTTGACTATATGCAAAGAAACATTATGATGCAGTGGAGTCCTCACACTTTGGAGCACAACTGTAAAACTAGTGGCAAAACACAGTAGAGTTCAGTGAGGACTCGATGGTTCTCTGCTTATTTCACTGATGACGATCAAGCTTAACTCACGAGGTTCATCCCAATGTCCCTCCTTGACTCCTCGATGACTTGACCCAGAAGTCTTATCTGAAACGAGCTCAAATAACATAAGGAAACTAATCAACCTATTATTATTATTATTATTATTATTATTATGATCATTAGAAATCTAACTTAAGATTACATTTTTTACCTGGAAAAACAAATATAAGATGGAATATAATACATTGAAAACTATAATAAAAAGAGATGGACAAATTTAATTTCAATAAACATGTGAAAACTAAATCAGGTTTGAAGGGATTTATTCTGAGTGAAGTCCAGTGACAGGTGATAGGCCAGCAAAAAAGGCCGTTGTTTAGAAGTGGCGCTGGAGTGAATGATGTTTCCCAATTCATACCTGAGAGGATTCCTTTGTCCTCGCGTCTTACAGGGCGGGGCTAAGAAGCAAGTGAGGGAAATGAGGAGGCCAACAAAGCAATTGGCATGAACCTACTGACTCCACTGCCTTACAGCAGTATTGCAGTGAATTGAACATTTGAAATGAAATCGTACTGCAACAAAAAAAAAGTTACACATTTCAATTTACAGTTTTATTAGAAATGAGTGCTTCTCAATATATTGTTACTTGTGTTTTTCTTGAGCTATTCAATTTAGTGTTTATCTTATTTGGATGTTTTTTTTTTCCTCCCCAGTTCAGTTCTCGTATAGTGGTAAGTTTAATGTGGAGGCACTGTATGTTGTCTGTGAGCACTTTAGGGTGGAAGCTGCAGTAATCACAGATTCAAAAAGTGGAATTTTGTGAAGTACTAGACTTGTTGCATACATGCATGAAAAAGGTCAATAATCACAATAATGGAGTCCGGCATATTTGTAGGCTACATTTGTGGATAGAGGCTACTGTATTGCAACAAAACCCTTAAACTACACGTGTTAGTTGATGGTGTCTCTGATTTCATGAGCCACTAATGCTCTTTCTTTGTACTCTAACAATCATTCTAACCACCTAAACCATCTTCGATAACATCACTGTTGGTTGACTTAGAAACAGGTTTATCAGAAGTAGAAATTGAAGTAAAACTCCATCTGAACCAGAAACTGTCAATATTTAGGGGGTTCATAAAACTGGTCTCTGTTCAGTGGATTACGATTTACTGTTTAAGTAGATCCCACTGGAGACAACCCCTTTTTGGTGTCTGGTTTGTATTTTATAGGTAATATATTATGGTTTCTTGTCCAAATGGGTTTTATGTTGTCAGAAACTGTTGTTAGCTTAAAGAGCAACTTGCAGGTTATTTTATTTTTTTACTACATTTATGCTTAACCTTGCCTGAAAATTACAACAACAACAAAAAGTGAATGCAGGATTTGATATGTTTTACAAGACATAAGGGCAATAATTCAGAGGGAAAGGAGCCGTTTTGAGCTCTGCTACTAAAAACTGCTTTTTCTTTTAACGTCATGCGTCATATTACGTCACATGGGGGAGCAACTTTCTCGGACTCCTTCTCTGCCCAATCCGCGGTAGTAGTTTTGTACTTGGTTTGAGCGGTTTTGATTTATGGAGCTGGTATTTTTTCGGTCAGTTTACATTGCATTTCACCATTTGTAATCATGGTGAGCTTGTGTTTGTGCAAGTTGCACAAACTCCAGCCTGTCAGGATATCGAGTCCATAGTTTCCCTAACAGGAAAAGGACCGGAGCTAGCTTTCGTTCCTGGGTGCGTTGTGTGAGGTGCATCCACCTCCCTGCAGCACACACTCTCCACAGCTGAGGCCTATCAAACAAAACGTTTATCAGGAAACCGTATGANTATGACATCTCTCTCCCCCCCTTCGCTCCTCTCTCTCCCCTCCGTTACACAGCACTTTAAGACGTAGTGTGGAGTTGCATTAGGTAACGCTGTGGTGGCTGTACTCCTCCAGCCGTCTCCTTTGTGTTTGTTTATTTCCCCCTGTCTGTGTTGCTAGGCCTGTCACGATAAATAATTTTGTTGGACGATAAATGTTCCTGGAAATTATTGCGATAAACGATAATATTGTCGGCACCATTGTAAGACCATTTTAGACCAC